TGAGAGCAAGTGTAACAATTACTGAGTGAGAGCAGGTGTGAAGATTACTAAGTCACAGCAGGTGTGAAGATTCCTGATGAGAGCAAGTGTAACAATTACTGAGTGAGAGCAGGTGTGATGATTACTGAGTGAACGCAGGTGTAATGATAAGTGAATGAGAGCAGGTGTGATGATTACTGAGTGAACGCAGGTGTAATGATAAGTGAATGAGAGCATCTGTGACTATTAATGAGTGAGAGCAGGTGTAATTATCACCGATGAGATGGGAGCAGGTATGACGATTACTGATGAAAGCATGCGTGACAATTACTGAGTGACAGCAGGTGTGATTATTACTGAGTAAGAGCAGGTGTGATGATTATTGAGTGAAAGCAGGTGAGATGATTACTGATAAGATGAGAGCAGGTGTGACAATTACTGAGTGAGATCAGGTGTGACGATTACTGAGTGAAAGCATATGTGATGATAACTGAGTGAGAGCAGGTGTGAATATTACTAATGAGCTGAGAGCAGGTGTCAAGATTACTGAGTGAAAGCAGATGCGATAATTACTGAATGAGAGCAGGTGTGATGATAACTGAGTGAGAGCAAGTGTGATTATTACTGAATGAGAGCAGGTGTGAAGATTACTGATGAGCTGAGAACAGGTGTGATGATTACTGAGTGAAAGCAGGTCTGTTGATTACTGTATGAGTGCAGGTGTGACGATCACTGAATGAGAGCAGGTGTGACGATCACTGAATGAGAGCAGGTGTGATGATTACTGAATGACTGCAGGAATGACAATCACTGAGGAGCAGGTGGGAAGATTACTGAGTGAGAGCAGGTGTGAAAATTACTGAATGAGAGCAGGTGTGATGATTACTGAGTGAAAGCAGGTGTGATGATTACTGAATGACTGCAGGAATGACAATCACTGAGGAGCAGGTGGGAAGATTACTGAGTGAGAGCAGGTGTGAAGATTACTGAATGAGAGCAGGCGTGTGGAGCCAAGGAGAATCTGTGGTCATGGAAAATCAAAGTTAAAAATCAGGCTAAACAAATAAAAACACTGAAATAAGTCATACAGAAACATACTGACACACGAAGAGAAAAATGCAGAAAACTCAAACTAAGAAACAGCAAACACCAAAGCTAAAGTTTTATTTTAGATATTTTAGTTCTTGCATCACTATATTTAACTCATTTTATACCACAAGATTGTCCTTTCCTTGTCATCTTAWTTCCACTTCCCCTCGACTTCAACAGACAGAGATCTTTACCTGCTGCAGTATTTTTTGTTCGGTGTCTCTGCAATGACAGTGTCGCTCCATTTCAAGCCTTAGAGATCCGTTCCCGTTCTTSAAAACTAACATTTGCTTGTTTTTATCATGTTGTGATTTTTCTCTATGCCCTTAAAGTAGCCTTGATCTGTTAATTAGATCATCTCTAAATAAACTTTCTCCTCATAATTATTTTTCTTTAGTTTTTTTTGTTTCATTTTGCTTGCCGTGTAAGAAGTATTATCTCTTTTCTGTTCTTCACACCCACAGGTTGCTGGTCCTGAAGCAGCCTACGGTCAGAAGGGTGAGAAGGGTGAACCGGCAGTGATTGAACCTGTAAGCTCCAAATCTGGGTTTATTACCAGCGCTCAGCATCTTAGCTTCTGTTAAAACTGCAAAATTGTCTGACAAAACGCTAAGAGTGAAACAATGTTTGTAATCTAAAGGGCATGCTAATCGAAGGACCACCGGGACCAGCCGGCCAAGCTGTGAGTATAAAGACTAAACAAAGTCAGAACTGATCAGCTGAGTGTCCAGAAWCCAGACTGATTTTTATAACTTAAATGTGTTTGTTTAGGGTCTTCCAGGTCCCCCAGGTCTACAGGGACCCCCCGGTGTTGCTGGAGATCCTGGTGACAGAGTGAGTTAACATAAGGTTTTGTTGATGTGATGTAAATACATCTGTGTTCAGAATGAATAAAGTTACAAAGCTGGCACATCTTAAAGTTAATTTAAGTCATAAAACCGATCAGCTGATGATCTATAATAATAATAATAATAATAATAATAATAATAATAATAATAATAATAATAATAATAATAATAATAAATGATGGTGACCCTCTGTGCTGCAGGGTCCTCCTGGCCGCCCCGGTCTACCAGGTGCCGATGGTTTGCCAGGACCTCCTGGTACCATGTTGATGCTGCCGGTAAGTCCACAAACACAAACGGYTACCTCAGCACATCTGCAGCAGCTGGAGGAGTGATGTCAAATATTAGAGTTGATTTTAAAGAGTTTTGTGTTTTTGAACAGTTTCGTTTTGGTGGAGACGGGGAGAAGGGTCCGGTGGTGTCCGCACAGGAAGCCCAAGCCCAGGCCATCCTTTCCCAGGCTAGAGTAAGTAGACTGGTCTCAGAGATGAGGAACCCCTAAACACACACACACACACACACACACACACACACACACACACACACACACACACACACACAGCCGTAGGGGTGCAGGAAGAGGACGGTAACTGAGAGTTTTTTGGCCCCTTCCCTGCATTTTGTCGGCTTTGCAGGACTAAAATAAAAACATTGCTTTGAACAGGTGGGCCAGCAGGAGGCAAAGTTAAAAATACTTTAGGGTCATTTTATTTATACGTGGGTTAAAGCAACAGGTACAGGAAACATTGTGTTTTTGTAGAAGAAGCAGTTAAAATATACATATTTTTGCAGTTTTTCTTTACTTTAATTAGTTCTCAAAGTAAACTCGGCCATTATCGAGGGTAAGAGTATCCATAAATGTTTGTTGGGTAAATGTGTTGTCTTTAGGGTTTGTTTAGAAAAAGAGGTGTTTGTTTTCATTAATTTGACCTAAACTCTATGTAAAAAGGTGAAGTACACAAATAAAAAACATCAACCAACATGAAAATACAAAAAAAATCAAAAGATTGTTAGGTTGGTGTTAATGTGTAACATGTTTTTAAGACAATAAACAGATGTTTCCAAGCATGAATTTTGGCCCTAATGGCTTGCCATACTACCAGCTCTCACCCTCCTCTGTTGGTGTRGAACACAAGGAACCCAAAACATTTTCTGAACAGCTGATTTGAAACAACCGTTCATGCATTGCTTTGGCATAGAGTGCTTTAGAATACGCTCCCTTTTAGAGAAATTTAAAAACACTCATGAACTCAACATAGTCTTCATCTCTACATCTGTACTTTGTTCAGGTCCACCACAGGACATAAACTGTGGGAACTGATGTGGGTTTTAACTCTGCATCAGAATCAGGTCAAGAGAARGACTCTAAATGTGGATTATAGTAAAATTCTGGATCTAATCTCACAAGCTGCTTTCTTTCAGGAAATATTGAGCCTTTCAGAAAGACTTTCACATTGTTCGAAATTGATACATGAACACAGTTTTTCATTCTTTAAAACAATTCAGTGCATGGATTTAGATGAGATAAAAATGTGCATTCTTTATAWAGTACAAAATGTAATATTCATCAGAATGATCAGAAACAAATATTCAGTAAGGTTTTATGAGTTGACGTTTCTCTGACTGGATGATGGTTTTGTCTCTGGTCTGCAGTTGGCTATGAGGGGCCCCCCAGGACCGATGGGTTTGACTGGAAGATCTGGACCTGTGGTGAGTTTTGATTATGAGTTTGGTTTTATGTGTCTGCAGGCAGATTTCTTCTTCTTTAGCTTCTGTCCTGTTTTTCAGTTTTCTGCAGAGCTCAAACAACAAATTCAAGAAAACCTGCAGCTCAGTTTAGATGAGTTAGCTGTGAGTTAGCTTTGAGTTATCTGTGAGTTAGCTGTGAGTTAGCTTTGAGTTATCTGTGAGTTAGCTGTGACTTAGCTGTGAGTTAGCTTTGAGTTAGCTGTGAGTTAGCTTTGAGTTAGCTGTGAGTTAGCTGTGAGTTAAAAAAAAAAGAAAAAAAT